CGCCACGAGCGCGCGGCCATGGCGGCCCTCCTCGCCCATGAACAGCCTGTCGTTGTCGAGGTGGCCGCTGTCGCCAGCCGCCGTCGCCGCGATCAGCATGCGGGCGTACCTCTCCTCGAGTAGCTGGTAGCGCCTGCCTGCAAGCTCCAGCGACGCCAGCTCGCCGAAATTCAGCTGGTCGTACGTCAGAGCGTACTCGAAGAGCCGGCTCAAGGACTCGTGCTCCCCGACGCCCCAATCGCTGGGGCCCAAGCCCAGCAGCTGTCTCCACCAGAAGTGGCGGCGCACGGGCGTCAGCTCCTGCCGAGCGATCTCCCGCGCCAGCCACTCCGCCGTCCTCGGGCCGCTGATCGGCCAGTCCTCGAACGCCGTCGTCGTGGTCAGCGATGCAGCCTCCTTGTAGGAGCGATGCCGCTGGCTGGCCGTCTCGTACTTCACCGGGAGGGTGCGCAGCTCGTTGGACACAGGCTCCGCCGCCTCCACTTCCCTAGGCGTAGGCATCTGCTGGCCCGGCCTGAAGAAGGCGCAGGCCACGAAGACGTCGCCCACCAGGGCCACTCCACGATCTCCTCGATGGCACCCTGCCTCCAGCTCCGCGTCGCCGACGCGCTCGCCCAGCCGAGCACCACCGCGGTTCTCCGAGTACCGCCATCCCCCTTCGCCCGAGCTCGGCGCGCCCTCCAGCGCCAGCGGCGGAGGCGCGCCCGTGGGCGGCGGCAGCGACGGAGAAGCGGCCAGGCCCAAGCCGCGCCTCTCCTGCGAGGCCAGCTCCGCGCCATCCGCCTGGAGCCGCAAGCTCTCCTCGCGGTGCAGCGGGCCCTGGGACGAGTTCCTGAACAGGTGCGTGGGCCCACGGTTCCACCCGATCGGCAGGCCTCCCATGGGACCCAACAACACGAGGCTCTCGACGCCCTCCTGAAGGTCTTCGAGGTACATGTCTCTCTCGGGTGTGGTCACCACCCACGAGCCTTCGTGCACGTGCGCGCACAGAAGGCGCTCATGCCACAACAGTTCGCGCGGGTCCTCGTCGTAAGAGACGAGCACTCGCTGGCCCTGACGAATATGCTCTGACATCGCTTCCGTCGGTCAGGTACGGAGTCTCTGAGCCCTCAGACGTGGCACGGCCCTCCGAGCGCCTCAAGCACCACCAGCCACAGGAGGCAGCAGCGGCGAACCCTGCCAGGAAAGCCAGCACCGCCACCAGGAAGACCACCAGCCCAGGATAGCACGAGCACTCTGGGGGCGGGCACGGCGCCGGCACCGTGAGGTTGGCGGGCCCGCACCTCTGCAGCTGCCCTTCCAGCAGGCGCAGCAGCTCACGGTCCACCGAGAACCCGTCTCCCAGCTCGACCTGGCAGGTACAGCGCTGGCCGTACCACAGGCTGCCCAGGTGTGCCAAGCCGCCAGCGCCAGCAGCGGCAGCCCTCGCCCACTCCATAGAGGGGCGAACTACAGGCTCGCGCGGCTGATTAGATCCAACGGTTGCGGATCAACAAATTGACAGGCCAACCCGATAAACTATCTCCAAGGCCCCCCAGATCCTGGAAACGCCCGCAGAAAGCATCACTGGGGTTCCAAGGAGACCCTCCGTAAACAAATTACAAAGGGGGCGGACCCAACCAAGATTGCCCCGTGAGCGCCCCAGAGACATCCAAGGCTCCCCGACGAGGCCCCCAAAGGCACCCAAGAGGCGCCCCCCCAAACCTACGAGGCCCTAAAGAGGCCCCACGAGCACACCAGAAGCCCCCAAGAGGACATCCCAAGAGACCCTCATAGACGACGTCGCCGAGCCCCCCTAGAAACTCCCCAGCGGGCATCACAACATATCCATATGTATATACAAGACTGCAGTGGCGCTTCGCGCCATGCACCTTGGTCCTTGAAGTTTGGAATGCAGGCGGAATGGCAGGAAGGCCAAGCCGACAATTTAGCGATAACTCCTTGTTGCCTTTTCCAGCATCGCCGCTAAAATGATGTTATTCGTTATCCTTCCTCCATGCTTCTTTTTCCTCGTTCTCGCCATACCCTGCGCATTTCCCCCATCCTCCTCAGCTCTTTTTGCGGAGGCTCCTCCTTGGAGAGCCTCTGGGGACCTCACAAAAGTTTCAGGCTTTCTCGAGGCCTTCTGGAGGCCTCCTGGGCGTGTTCCCGAGGTTCTGGGGGCTTCCTCGGGCCACCCTGCCTCCAACCGCGGTCTCCCTGAACGACCGGGTCACGATTTGGAATGCTTCGGAGGGTGTCTTGGGGCCGTCTTGAGCCGCCATGGGGCTCTCTTAGGGCCATCTTTGACCCCTGTTGTGCCGTTTTGGGGCTCTCTTGGACTACCTGGAAGCCCTTTCGGATGGTTGTGGGGCGATTTTGGAGTCTCCCAGGCGGCTTCGGACGCCCAGAAGACTGCCGTATTGGAGCGTCGGGAAGCCGAAAAGAGGAGAACCCCCAAATTCACCCAAACCCGCAGAAGATCAATGATTTTTGCCCCTTGGGGTCTTATTGGGAGTGCTCTTGGAGGCTTTTTGAGGCCTTTGGGGCCGTCCTGGAGGCCTCTTGGGCAATCTTGAGGTCACGTCGGTCACTCTTGGAGCGCTCTTGTGCTGTCTTGGGGGTCTCTGGGACTTCTCCGATTCACCCCCCTGATCGCCCTCGGTGTGCTGGTAAGGCTTGGCAAAACGCCCTGCGAGGACCGGGGGGCCACTTCGAGGCCCGTCCAGAGGGTCCCAAAGCCCCAGATCCCGGGAGTCTGGTTTTGTGTGTGTGTGTGTGGTTTTCCCCCCGGCCGGGCTTATGATAATATAGTAAGAGGAATCTATGTATATAGACAGACATACAAACATACATACATATAACCACACATACGTACACATTATGCATGTTTACACATACGTGCATCTATATATATATATATATATATATATAGTATACACGGAAGGTCCCAGCTCCGGGGCACCGGGCAATGCGGAGCCAGATTCGGGCACACCAGTTCTCTTGTGATCTCTGACAGTCCCAGACGACGCGTCGTAGAAGCCCCCAAAGACCCCATTTCACGATTCTTGGGTTACCTTATCAAATGGCGGCAGATCCCACGACCAACTTTCAGGGAACTTTCGAGTCAACCTGACAGCACCCAACAGCAACTTGCGACGATGGATCCTTGAGCGCGACCAGAACCTAAGCGCGCGCGCGAAGATCGCGCGTGGTATACATGTGCGTGTGTTTGTGTGTGTGTGTGTGTGTGTGACTGTGAATGTGTGTGTGTGTGTGTGTGTGTGTGTGTCTGCGACCTCCGCGCGGGACGCTCCCGTGGCGGGCAGTCTCTTCCTTCCCCGCATCACCGCCCAGTTGGCTATGCGCTGCCCATCCCGTAGGGTGGCACGCTCGGCGATCCGAAGCGATCCCGCCTGAGGGCCAGGCCGCGCGCGCCCGTTCCCGCCGCTCTGAGACTGACTCCGCCTCGTCGCTGCACGCGAGGCCACAATCGGTACACACAGCTATACATATGTACACACACATATATCTATATATATATATATATATATATATTACACGTATGTATGCATGCATGCATGCATGTGTGTATGTATGCGTGTATGTATGCATGCATGTATGAATGCATGTGTACATGTATGCAAATGTATGTATGTATGCATGTATACGTATAGGATTCATACATGTACATGTATATGTTTATGTAGCTATACACGTATATGTATGTGTATAGGTGCTTGTTGTATATGTAGTTGTGTGTATACATGTACATGCATATGTCGATGCATATGTGTGTTACGGATGTGCATGTGTGTATGTATGTTTGTATGTATGTATGAATGTACGTGTGTACGTATGTGTGTATGTATGTATGCATGTATGCATGCATGTATGTATGCACGTATGTACGTATGTGTGTTTTTGTTTATATACACACATACATGTATGTATGTGTGCATGCGTGTATGTATGTATGTATGTATGCATGTATGTATGTATGTATGTATGCATGCATGCATGCATGCATGCATGCATGCATGCATGCATGCATGTATGTATGTATGAATGTGTGTGTGCTAACGATCGTGCCTGGCCCAAGGTCGAAACACTCCCGCTCGCTGCTGCACGTTCGGCCTCGCCGCCAACCCCCAACCAGGGTGTTTTTCTGCACGCCCGCTCGTTTAGCGCGGCTCACCCTTCTGCAAGGCTTGGTGGAATCTAGCATGCTCGAGCGTGGCACGTTCTTGCGTTCGCAATGGTGCGGTCACTCTGCCGGAGGAGGAATAAGTGTGTGCTCATCAACTTTGTCCACGTTTCCACAAGTTGTGGTCCATGTTTTAGAGAAATTCCTTATTTTAGTTGCGCTAGTAGTAACGCTGCGTTGCCGCGTCGGAGAAGCCAGTGTTGGTGTGTGTGTGTGTGTGCGTGCGTGCGTGTGTGTGTGGGTCTCCCACCCATCTGCTACGCCCAGTGGGAAGTCGCCTAAACGTGTCCTGGTTTAGCGTTTCGCGGCGGTGTCGCCATTCGCCGCTGGACAAAACGTGCGCGGGTACAGCTTTCATTCACGTTTGTGTCTTGTCTCCTGCTAGCCTGCGCCGCGATGGGGCCACACATAGCTGTAGGAGGAACAACGTCTCCTCCTCCTCCCCCACCCGCTTTCCCATCCTCCGGTCCCCCCCTGTCTTCTCATCTTGTTTCCTCTTCTTCCCCCCCACTCATACCACGCATCCCATCCCTTGCTAACCCCTACGTTTTCCCCACCATCTCCGCATCCTCTCTCCCTCCTATCCCTTTCCCTCGCTCCAACATCCTTCGTCTTTTGCGGGCAAGGAGGAAAAGGAGGAACAACAACGCGAGGAGGAGGAGGAACAAAAGGAGGAGGAGCAACAGGAGGAGGAGGAGGAGAAGGAGGAGGAGGAGGAGGAGGAAGAGGAGGAAACCTGCAAAGCTGACGCGCTGACCCGTTACCCCCACAGCAGCAGACGAGTTCTCCTGGCCCTCCGTCCTTTCCTCAGGAGTGGCGCCCGAACTCAAGTGCCCAAATCTCAACCTCGACGACCGCATTCCAGCGTTCATCCCGGCCATCCCTCACGAGGATACGCCGATGGTCGCCATGGCCCAGAACCTCTTGCTTTCTTCTTCCCTCCCCCTCTTATTCTGCCGCGCCCTCCTTGGCTTCCTTTCTCTCCGTCGTTAGTCGCTCCTCATTCCGTCCCCTCTATTCTGTCCATCCTGTTCCTTCAGTTCTTTCTCTTTCCTCCTTGCAGCCCCTTCTCCTGTACCTTCGTTGCCGAAGCAACCACATCGTGCGCCCTCCAGGTCGAGTGCCGGGTCTGCGGCTTCATGGACGCCGTCGAAGACTCCAACCCTGTCCACGGCTTTTTCACCGGCTACCTTGTCAGCTTCGGCCCGAACCAGTTGCAAGGCGAGCTCAACGAGGACCTGAGTCAATCGGGCACTCGGTGTCGTGGCACCATCCGCCCCTTTGATGATCTGCCCTCCTATGCGGACGAGTTGTTTCACCCAGGAGATTTCGCATCCTTGCCTTAGGGCCCATTCCTCCACTCCCTTCTTTCCCATTCTTGCTCCGTTCTCTATTCTTTTGTCTTCCTTCACCCCCTCACAGTTCTAGACGCTTCGCGTATATCCGCCAGCCAGCCAGTCAGCCAGCCCCCCGCCGCCGCTGCCGCAGCTGCTGCCTCTGAGGGCTGGCCCAGCCGGCTCGCGCTGCGCCCTGCAGCTAATTAGGTTTGCCCGTCGGCCCGGACACCCTGTTCGCCGCCTGCGCTTTTCGCTCGCGGCCGCGACCAAAAAAGTATATCCGCCAGCCCATCCAGCAGCCGTTCCTCGGCGAGCTGTCCTGACCAGGACGATGTACAGTGAGCGGCTTGAATAAGGAACACTTACTTTTCAAAAGGGGCTCGGTCGTTCCTCAGGTTTGCATGCGTTATCTATCGTTCCTTACGCGTTATTCATTATACCTCTTTATGCGTTATTCTTGGGAAACAGGGGCTTCGCTCCTTACTTATCGTTCCTTAGGTCAGGCCGATGACTGTAGCTGACGGGCCTTCCATGGGGAGCACTGCGATTGCCCTCATGATTGACTCCTGTTTTTTTCGTGACGGCGGAGGATCGCGAAGAAGCCAGCAATCGATCAGACATGCCTTCAATTTTTTGGGGCATCTTGGGGCTCTCTCGTTGCATTGCTGAACGTCTTTGGGGTCTCTTGGGGCCCTCTTTGGGCTGGTACGGGAACACCAGCAATGTAATAGTGAACATCAGAATGGTCTTCGAGCACCACCGCGTGCTTGAGAGCACCACTGCGTCCTGGAGACCACCAGACGCCGAGGGAAGCCAGAACCTGCCAGTATACCACGACGTCATGCGAGCGTCACGTGCATGCACATCGCTGTGCTGGGCCGGGCAAGAGCCGCACTTTGCCTGCGAGCGCCACGGTATGCCTGTGAGAGTCAGCAATGTGCCCGTGAGTGCTACAGTCGCCGAGCGCGTTCCACTACTCGCAAAGTGCCTACTCGCAAACGTCCGAGAAAAACATGCCATCCTCTATGTAATATATCGCAAATCCCCCGCGGCGGATCTAGGCAATTTGCGAGTAGTTTATTTGCGAGTAGTGGAACGCGCCTGTCCATACAGTGGGGACCCATGCCAAGGAACACCCTGCTTGCCTCCAGGGTGCCCTGGCTTTCTTGGGTTTCGATGGTTTTGCTATGGGAAGCGCGACGTTCTCGCACCAAAAATCAGTGGACGTCAAGGGATCTCAGGGTTGGGTCTCTTGTGGAGGGCTTCTTGTGGACTAGCCCCCGCTGCATAATACTTTTGCGACTGCCCAAGGGTGGTTGACACGGTCACGGTGTGCGCGCTCACCTGAGGTCGAGAGAAGCCAGGGCCTGCCGCCACCGCTACAGCTCTGACATGCAGTGCGTATGCGCAAGAGCACGCGGAACCCTGCCGTTACCAAGGTTGCTTGCGATCCACATAGTAGGGTCTCGAGCACCAGCTTTGCAATGTGCTTGTGGGGACCACCGTATTCGGATGCAACTCCTGGGAGGTCCAATGACTTTGCCCTGGTCCGAAATCCGGCAGAATCCCGCTTGCTCCCGCTAAATCCGGCTCATTTCCGCTCAATCTGGTTGAATCCCGGTGAATCCGCGGCCTAATCCGGCGTAGCCGCCCTCTAATGGGGATTCATTCTTCTTAATCGCTCCGGAGAAGACTTCTCAGCAGTTGCCTGCAATCACCCAGCGTTTGCGAGCACCATCGTCCACCTGCGAACACCAGACGGTGAGGAGAGCCGGATCCCGCCAGCACCACAGCACACAGCGAGCGTCGCGCGAGGACGCGACGCGTGAACGTCCTCCGCGGAGACGCAACGCTCCGGGCAGCAGCCTTCCTGGACAGTACCCACAGCAAGGTGCACGGGACGCGCACGGGACGCAGGCACCAGCAACCCGCGACAGTCCCATGCTCGACGCCGACATCGGGGGTGACAAAGCGACG